ACCATTACTTACAACTTGTATTAATATTAAGGCAATTCTAATAAATTAAATTTAAAATTTATGTATCGACACAACCTTTTGTAAGGTGGAAAATTAATATGATTTACCTTTATATACGGCCTCGGTGACAAAAAAATGTTTAATTATTATTATGGTGGTTTAGCGGCAGCTCAATAAATAATGCCCGCTTGCTTTCAATTATTCAAATATGTAAATGCGGGGTTTGTCGAGTGTTGGCTGGGTACGAAATTTCAAATGTCCGGACGCCGGACGCCCGCTGTTAACACAGGAGTTAAAGCTGTATTAAATTAATTATACTAAGCATAGTCCAGTCAACAAAGGGTTGTAGAGGAAAATTAAAGGAACACAAGTTTTGACTAGTAAAAAGGTAAATATAGTAAAAGTAAATAGGAGAATTGATTTTTTCAAGTTTTTATGTCCGCTCTCAAAATTCGCTAATTTTTAAGAGTTAGCTTTAAAAAGTTATGTAAATAATATAAAGATAAAAATAAATAAGGCAAAAAAAGTAGGGCAACTCTTTTTCTGCTCAAAAATTATTTAATTTTGTTCGAAAATATCTCGGAAACTCTGCAAGAGCGAACAAATGAATGACATTTAATTTTGTATACATAGAATGGTTTTATCGGTAGAACCCATAGTGTGGAAACGAGTCATCTAGAAACTTACATAATTGCGTAAGCGGATACACCAATGATTTAAATTTTGTTGGCAGTTGATAACTGTTTGTATATTTATTATATGGAAATTCTTAATACATAGATATAATAAATTTACAAAATGTTAAGTGAAAGAGTAGCAAGTATTAGCTGAACTTTAAACATCTATATACAGTGTGTCCGTAAAGTCCCGGAACATCTGATTATTTTGAAAACGGTAATTTTTAAAAAAAAACGCTGAAACACGTCAACTTTGTTATTTTTCTAGCAATATTTTAGCATATGTAGTTGTACCAAATTCTGCCGCGTGGCGGCGCCACAATCAAAGTCAGTTTTTTTTAAATTGCAACCCTTTATTTTTGTTGCATTTTTGGATAGCTACCGTTGTCCTGATTACATTGATGTGCCACATCTGGGGGGTTACATAAGAAAATTTTTGAGAATATCAGGTTTTTGCCGCCGAATGAGATTTTGGTATTTTGACAAACTTACACAATCTATGCGTTGCTTAATGTTTTTTGGAAAGCCAATCAGAGCAGTTGCTCAAAGTGTCCACCGTAAACTATTTGGCAATGGAACAGCCTGTCTACAAACGAGCGTTGTACGTTTGCCAGTACCGCTGGAGTGATCATCTGGATCTCGGCTTGAATGCGGTGTCTTAGGTCGCCCAAATTTTAAGGCCTGTTTACATAGACGCGGTTTTTAAGATGTCCCCGTAAAAAGAAGTCTAAAGGGTTCAAATCGGGCGATCGCGCTGGCTACTCAATTTGACCCCTTTAACCTATCCAGCGATTGGGAAAGACCTGATTTAAATAATCCCTTACTAGCAATGCATAGTGCCCCGTAACAGCGAATAAGTTCGTCAAAACCAAAATCTCAATCAGCGGCAAAAACCTACTTTTCTCAAAAATATTCCTATGGGGCGCCGCCACGCGGCAGATTTTGGAACAACTACATATGCTAAAATATTGCTAGAAAAATAACAAAGTTGACGTGTTTCAGCGTTTTTTTTTTAAATACCGTTTTCAAAATAATCACATGTTCCGGGACTTTACGGACACACTGTATAAATGCCTAGACAAGCTATTTGGTTAGCTGATTGGAAAATATATAAATGTATTAAATAAATAAATAAATAAATCTGGTAGCTTTAATTTTATATATATATTCGCTGTTACGGGGCACTATGCATTGCTAGTAAGGGATTATTTAAATCAGGTCTTTCCCAATCGCTGGATAGGTTAAAGGGGTCAAATTGAGTGGCCAGCGCGATCGCCCGATTTGAACCCTTTAGACTTCTTTTTACGGGGACATCTTAAAAACCGCGTCTATGTAAACAGGCCTTAAAATTTGGGCGACCTAAGACACCGCATTCAAGCCGAGATCCAGATGATCACTCCAGCGGTACTGGCAAACGTACAACGCTCGTTTGTAGACAGGCTGTTCCATTGCCAAATAGTTTACGGTGGACACTTTGAGCAACTGCTCTGATTGGCTTTCCAAAAAACATTAAGCAACGCATAGATTGTGTAAGTTTGTCAAAATACCAAAATCTCATTCGGCGGCAAAAACCTGATATTCTCAAAAATTTTCTTATGTAACCCCCCAGATGTGGCACATCAATGTAATCAGGACAACGGTAGCTATCCAAAAATGCAACAAAAATAAAGGGTTGCAATTTAAAAAAAACTGACTTTGATTGTGGCGCCGCCACGCGGCAGAATTTGGTACAACTACATATGCTAAAATATTGCTAGAAAAATAACAAAGTTGACGTGTTTCAGCGTTTTTTTTTAAAAATTACCGTTTTCAAAATAATCAGATGTTCCGGGACTTTACGGACACACTGTATATAGATGTTTAAAGTTCAGCTAATACTTGCTACTCTTTCACTTAACATTTTGTAAATTTATTATATCTATGTATTAAGAATTTCCATATAATAAATATACAAACAGTTATCAACTGCCAACAAAATTTAAATCATTGGTGTATCCGCTTACGCAATTATGTAAGTTTCTAGATGACTCGTTTCCACACTATGGGTTCTACCGATAAAACCATTCTATGTATACAAAATTAAATGTCATTCATTTGTTCGCTCTTGCAGAGTTTCCGAGATATTTTCGAACAAAATTAAATAATTTTTGAGCAGAAAAAGAGTTGCCCTACTTTTTTTGCCTTATTTATTTTTATCTTTATATTATTTACATAACTTTTTAAAGCTAACTCTTAAAAATTAGCGAATTTTGAGAGCGGACATAAAAACTTGAAAAAATCAATTCTCCTATTTACTTTTACTATATTTACCTTTTTACTAGTCAAAACTTGTGTTCCTTTAATTTTCCTCTACAACCCTTTGTTGACTGGACTATGCTTAGTATAATTAATTTAATACAGCTTTAACTCCTGTGTTAACAGCGGGCGTCCGGCGTCCGGACATTTGAAATTTCGTACCCAGCCAACACTCGACAAACCCCGCATTTACATATTTGAATAATTGAAAGCAAGCGGGCATTATTTATTGAGCTGCCGCTAAACCACCATAATAATAATTAAACATTTTTTTGTCACCGAGGCCGTATATAAAGGTAAATCATATTAATTTGCCACCTTACAAAAGGTTGTGTCGATACATAAATTTTAAATTTAATTTATTAGAATTGCCTTAATATTAATACAAGTTGTAAGTAATGGTTAAAAATGCATTGTTTAAATTTAATTAATATACAGGGTGCTTAGCCACGGGCAGCTCATTTAGACCAATATTTTGAAATTTGATCCGAGAACAGCAACACTTTACTCGATGTTAAACTTTATAAATCCAGCGTTATTTGTTTTTAATGAAATGAAATGAAATGAAATGAAATGAAATGAAATGAAATGAAATGAAATGAAATGAAATGAAATGAAATGAAATGAAATGAAATGAAATGAAATGAAATGAAATGAAATGAAATGAAATGAAATGAAATGAAATGAAATGAAATGAAATGAAATGAAATGAAATGAAATGAAATGAAATGAAATGAAATGAAATGAAATGAAATGAAATGAAATGAAATGAAATGAAATGAAATGAAATGAAATGAAATGAAATGAAATGAAATGAAATGAAATGAAATGAAATGAAATGAAATGAAATGAAATGAAATGAAATGAAATGAAATGAAATGAAATGAAATGAAATGAAATGAAATGAAATGAAATGAAATGAAATGAAATTGATTAGCTTACTTAAATGCTATTTGGCCAGCACATTATGTTTTCAGTTTAGCTTGTCTATAGAATGGTTTTATCGGTAGAGCCCATAGTGTGGATTGGGGTGCTTCAAAAAAAGTTTTTTTCGCTCTTTGTCTCTTAAATGTTTCTATTTAATATAAAAAAATCCTTACCAAATATGGGCGATCCAGCTCAACTCTAAGAGGTCGCTGTTTTTATTTTAGTTTCCCATTTAACATGGGAAAAAATAATTTTATGTTTGGAATTTTATACCTATGTATCAAAGTAACATATGGCAATTATCATTACAGTTTCTTATATAAAATGTAACGCTCTACAAAAAATGTCTCTTAGTATTTTTTGATAAATTGATTTCTTCTAGAGTTATTCGAGGTCAAAGTTTGATTAACATCAAATTTTTTGTTTTTTTAAATTTTATGCTACAATTAGCAGACGGGAGGTGAAAGGGGGCAAAACAAGGAAAGGGTTTTTGAAGCACCCTAGTGTGGATCCACAATAGATATCTATTGTGGATCTGTCAACAATACAATCACAATATTGTGGTGTTTTTGGTTTTTAGGTTCAGTTTGTTTACGTCGTTTTTCTATGATTTTCTTGGATTTTTTGCCTTTAAAATATGTGAACAATATTTGAAATTATATTTAGGTAGGTATGTATCATGTGTATGTAAAAAATACCTTGTTAATTTTGTAATTTACAAATATATCTTACAAATATATCTTCTTTAAATACAAGGCGCAATAGAATGCGCAAAGATACAAACGTTTCTGATTTAGTTATTCCGTCCTAAAATAGAAATTAAAAAAGAAAACTCTAAATGTATAATTTAAGCAATAAGTCATAATTCATAAAAAAGATTTAATTTGTTTACATATTAAAATTTGAAGTGTAAATATAAGTTAAAACACAAGAGCAACATCATTGGACGATTTGATTTGGAAATACAAGTCATTTAAAAGGCTTAGGTATATATTTTATTTGTAAAATTTGGGGGTTTTACTATCGAATGTTGGTTCTTTATGCACCAAAAATTGTGAAGTTATTTTAAAAAGGATATTTATTATTATTATTATTATTATTCTACAATACGTCAAATTTACAATAGGGATGCCTTCGTTCACACCGATCGCCATAATCGGCCACCTCTTCAATAGAGGGCAAATGAGCAAACATCGCTTTGGGCCCCTTAGGCACGGTTTCGTTTCCGCTATTTTTCAAAGCCTTCTGCATGTTCCAAATGAAGGGCGAACCCTTGCACACCAAGAGTTGCAGGCATCCCGTCTCCTCGTCCAAAGAGTTTTCTTTCAGGTACTCGATCACTTGATTCGGGAGGTTTTTGTCGTTGGTGTATGTTAGCAAGTTGGCCACCCTGGAGTTTCCCAGCAGCCAATCGAATGGCGTGCCCGGGGAGTACCTCGCTTGCGTCAGTTCGGAGGGAGATGTCAGTTTTAAGGATGAACTTATCTGAAAAAAAACCATTATTAACCTTATAAAAATTACGAATTTTAATGCATACATTATACCTTATAAGGTTGTTTTAAATTATGTAACATGTGCTCCTTAAGGCAGTGAGGTTAATTTTGTACAAATACGAATAAATTTCCACGTCATTATAAATAAAAAATAATAAACTAAAAAAAGTAGATATCAAAGCAATCTTAACCCAAATTGCAAAACATAAATTCCTTTTTTTTAACTTTGCAATATATATCTGGAACTTAAAAATATATTTGGGTGAATATATTGAGATGTCCCCCAAGGGAAAATAATTATTTTTTATTTTTGGTTGTTTCACTGTTAGTCTAGAATGGGGTTTTTGGGAAGCCACCAGGTCTAGTAATAACATAACATAATTGGTTCTGCACTTATGCAAGAATTTTAAAAAATTATACATTTTGAATATTAGAGCTTCACGGAAGATAGCTTCATGGAGGTTAGGATTTCGTATGTTTTTTTTTTAAAACATCCCTTTGTATATTTGTTATAAGTTATTGTATCTTGTGACACCTTATTATTTTTAAAAAATACAATGGTACATACATAAAATATTTATGTTTACATATGTTTTTGCTTATTTAAAATGATTAAAGCGCCATCCGTTGCATAAAATTTAAAGCAAAAACAGATTCACGGAGGATATAATCAATTTTTGTAACACCTACATACATGGTTATAAATATTTTTTCTTTTAATTTTTAATAATATTTTATATTTGATTCGATTGCTTTGGATGTGTTTCATTTATTTAGTGAACTGATATTTTTAGTATACTTTTACTACCTCAGATATTTGAAAACATATAGGTTAACCTAGAAATAGTAACAGTCACTGAGGATAGGTTTTAGACTTTTAAAACATTGTAAAAAATAATTAAATGCGGTTAAAAATATGGAATATCTACTTGATTTAATCAAGTTGATTATGAAAGATCAAAACACAATAAAAGTGTAGCGTGTATGTACTAATTTTACTAATCGAGACAAAAACTATAAAAGACAAAAGTTTTAAATAATTTAATCTGAATCAAAACAAAAACATCCGCTTACACACACTGCAACCGAAAGTGCCACCCACCACATCTTTAGTCATGTGATTTTTGGTTGAATGTAAGAATGAATTTTTACATTTTTAATGTTTAAATTCAAATTCCGCCATAATGTATTTCCTTATTTCAATAAAGACGTTTATTATTATTATTATTATTATTTAAAACCACCAATTAGAGCAAGCCCAAAAACAATTAAGTAAGTACATCTAAAATCACTTACCATCTGTGCAACAAAAATAATAGCATTAATAGCAATAGCGCTGATTCTTTTGGCATCAAAACCCAAAACTCTTAAAAACCCAGAAAACACATTTCCTCCATTGTTCCCCTTCTCATCCTTCCTATTATTTTTTCCGAAAGCTTGACTGACCAAATTTGCCACCCCTTTAGCCTGTTCCAGCCCCAACAACTTCCCCGCCATTTGGAAACCCGATTTGATTTTCCCCAGAACGTCTATGGTGCGTTTATCGTCGGCCATAACGCAGGAAACCAACGTTATGACAAAAAACGCTGCACAAGCGGGTTGTATTACTTTAAGTTTCATCTTGATACTGTTAGTAATGTCTTTGTAAGTAAGATGTTTTAAGAATCAAACGGTGCTCCTCACATGGTAGCCCAAGTGAGGATAATTTGGGCGGTTCTAATTGTTTCCTGATTTCTTGCTCTGCTGCGACAGAATTTTTGCGACTGGATTTTAATTTTTTAAGAAAATATGTCAGCAAAATAGTACATTTTTATATACAGGGTGTCCCAAAAAAAGGCTCACTAATGGTATACAACGCTTTAAAATAACGTACCAAAGATCAAACTTGTAGTCTAAATGACAACTTAAATATCATAAATTACATCCAATAATTTTAAACAGATTTTATGTAAACCCAGGTCCACATAACGTTATGTTAAGTTTACAACTAATTGATAGTTGTTAAATAATTGAAGTAGTTTGTAATTATAACAAACATTTTATAGATTTAATATCAAAATCCTATATCAATAATTTAACCATAAAAGAACCATATTTTTACAAACCTTTATGTATATACCAAGTAACAAAAACAAAAACAGTTTTGATAAGAAATGTTGCTTTATTAATCAATACCCTAAACAAAAAATAACACATACCTACAGAGCTGGAATTTATCTTTGATAAAAGTTACAATTATTATCTTAAATAAACTGCTCGTCATAAAAAACGCCGCACCTAGTTTTTTGGAAAATATTTGAAAGCTCGTTATTGGAAAATTACTGAATCAATTTTGAAAATGTTTGGAAATTCTGGATAGCTAATTCTTTGACTCTTATGTCTAATTTTGGGAATACGATATTTTGCACATAGCATTATTCTACCGGGTGTTAAACGAAGAGATGTATTTTTTCCGAAATTTCAAGTTATTCCTATTCATAGGGCAGTTGAGTTTGATAGTCGTAATACCCCTCCCTAATATAAGTTAGGTACTTAATCCCTCGGAACGTTTTCGAGATTTTGTAGATATCGTGGCTTACTACGATTATATGCCAATTTTTCGAAAATTGTCATTAGTCCCAGTTTAGTCCAAAAAATGAGGAATAGTTGATTCTTTGAACCTTTTTTTACGTATATTAAGTTTATTGTATTATTTTTTATTAGAAAATTGTCAATCCTGTGTTCATATTTGCTAAACAGAAATAAATTATCAATTTGATACTATTATAGTACTATAATAGTACCATTTAAGTATTTAAGATATCTTTTAAGATAACCGATATATCGGTTATATATCCAATTATGAATTATGAGGTGAGATTTAATACTTTAAAAGTATACTACGAGGTGTGTTCAGAAAATATCGGGAATTTTCGTTTTTTGAAACAAATATTTATTTATTCGTCTACATTAATGTTGACGCCTTCAAAATAGTCCCCATTGGATATTATGCACATGTGCCAGCTCTTCTTCCAATACTCGAAACACTTCTAAAACTTGATCTTTGGGATAGCCTTTAGTTCTTTCAGCGATGCGCTTTTAATGTCATCTATGCTTGCAAAACGACGGCCCTTTAAGGTTCTCTTTATTTTTGGGAACAGGAAAAAGTCAGACAGAGGCATGTCTGGCAAATATGGAGGCTGGGGCATCATTAAAGTATTGTTTTTGTCCAAACATTTTGTTCAAAATTTAACAATTTTAGAACAAATTTTGCTGCCACGGGTTTCAAAAAAAAATTTCATGGGATGAGCCAATCGATATACCAACATCATCAGCGACTTCTCTGATGGTTTATAACCATTTCTTCCACTTTTTTCATGTTTTTATCGGTTGTTAATGTGCTTGTGCGTTCGGGGCGTTCGTCATCTTCAACGTCTTCACGGCCATCTTGGAAACTCTTATACCACTTGTAAACTCTTGTTTTACCTATAGCAGACTCACTATAGGTCTTTGTTAACATTTCACAGAATTTTTTAATTTTTTAAGCTGCCACACACAAAGTAAACGATGAAAACAGCTAAAGTTTTTATCATACTTCGGGGGCATGTATACCAACATAATAAAGAAAATTTTATGACAACCTGACCCTCTGAACCCGCGAAATTTAACAATTCCCGTTATTTTCCGAACACACCTCGTATCCTATTTCTGTTTAAAGACCAGTGATGTCAGCTTTTTTCGTATACTTCGCATACTCGTTAAATAGGTATAAGAAATCCGAATAACAATAATATAATATTTTAGTTGTTACGAATACGTTATAACGCGTTTCTTATTTTGTTCTAATTCTTATAAGAATAAGAAAAAAATAAGAAACATAAGTTGCAGACGCTGAAGTCAGTTTAACTTATTGATGCGTATTGTCAGTGGGAAATGTTGTGATTGACTGCCTGAAATCACGTGTACTTTTTTAACGAAATAATTTGTTAAAGATAACCAAAATAATCTGTAACCTTTGAAATTAACATAATGCTTACTAAATTTCATATTGCGTTTACAAAACTTTTGGTAAAATATTTTTCTTTGTTAAATTAATTAAAAACCCTGGTTTTATACAAAAAATTATGTTAAAATTTTACATAAATAAAATTAACAAACTAATGTTAAAAAATCTGATTTTTATAACAGTGTACCTATACGTTTTAGAGATTAAAACTTTCATATTGTTACAATATTACAATATTATTGTAACAAGCGGCAGATTTAACAGGTGCCTCCTGACGAAAGGCCTTAAGGGTCCATCTTGCCAAAAGTAACTTATTTTCATTATTTAGTCAAATAGTCGTGTCCACTTATCCTCTTACATCATTATTACGACCATAAACAATATAATTGTTTTCAGAAACGAGTTTATTTACCGTGTAATTCGCGGCTTACGGTTATTTTTCACGTGCTTAAAAAATTGAACTAGTTCATTTTTACATCTGTCGCAAAATGATTTAGATCGCGAAATACGATGCGCCTGAGAACATTATTTTTTCATTTTGTCATTTTCATTTCGAGTTTTTTAAATTTAGCAAACGGTCAGAGTTTAAAATCGTCGGATGTTGGCACTTTGAGCGAGCTTTCGTTGGATAAATTGTTGGAGGTTAGGAAAAGTTTTTTGCTTGGCGATTTGGGAAATAAAGAAGTTAATGGAAATTTGACTGATGAAAAGGAGAATTTACCTGAGCCACTAGCTTTACAAGGTATGTTACAACATAGTTTTGAATGATTTAAATGCTTTACACATGTGTTAATACACATTTAAAATGTTTTTTTTACTTTAAATTTAAATCATGATGTCGAAAACTAGTGTAAAACACTTCTATTATAAAGATTAAACTAAAAAAAAACCTTAAAAAAACTGTTTTTCCTATAATTTTTTTCTTAAAAATCTATTTCTTCTCACGGTAGCGTAAGTGATATTAAAATGTTATAAAATAAATGATATATTAGCTAGAATTGGTACTTCGTACTTGGCTAAAATAAGAGATCATCCAAAGGTCAAAGGTCAAGGGTTAAAAGTCAAAGTTGGTTGTTGGTCGGAATTGCTCGATTGGACCGGAGTTATGATCAATAAAATATTGGCAAAATAGTATACTATATCCGATTCCATATAAAATAGGTTGTGTGTATATGTTTTTATAGATTTACAGTTTTACTGAACTAAAATCTTGAAATCATCGTAAAATCATGAATATTAAAAATCAAATCTCCGAAAATAATTGACGAATCGGTCATGCCCTGATAGCAAAATTTGATTCTAAGAATCTTCTAAGAAGATATGACCCGGAATAATGGAATATTCTTAGAACCTTCCCTTATTTCTAAGAATGTTCTTAGGGACTTTTAAAACATTCAATAGATTCAACCCTTTTAATGAAGCAATTAGATTCTTAAAACCTTCCTAAGAAGCATCCCAAGAACATTTTAAGAATACGTTTTTGGAATGTTCTTAGAAGGTTTCTTATAGAGCTTCTAGGAAGCTTTTGAGAATATTTCCAAATATGTCAGATACCCACGTTCTAATATGTTGGATTCTACATTCGTAAAATTCTTCAGGAGGCGACAAATACGCCTCACTGTCATAATATGAAAGTGAAATGTATTTGTCGTCCCCTTAAAAAATTTTGCGACATTATTATAAGGTAAGTGCGGGTAATAAGGCCCAGCAGGTTATAAGGCCCGACAGCCATTTTACCTTCATTTTTTAAATTATAATACTGGGGCTGCCATCTTATGATTTTACTAGGTAATTTTTAATATTCGATAGAGTTCCGACTTAATAAGATGTTGTTTGCTGATAGTAAATACAACAAGTGTTTCGACAACAAGTTTCTTTCGTGAAATTATAAAAATTGTGGTATTTTCCTAGAGCTGTGCCTAAAAAGCGTTTATTCATTTGCTGCGCCATTACAGGTATGTATCAATACACATATTACCAATGTTTTCCTAGAAAATGATTGGTTTTGTACTATGCATGTCTGAGTTATAACCTTAAAACAAGGATCGTTACAAAGCAGGTAATAAGGCCCACCAAATAATGAAACTGGGAAGAAACCCCAAAAGGAGAGCGGCTCGGCAACAAAATGCAAGAAGAAAGCGAAGATCAGTCAAACGAAGGCCACTGTAGAACCATCGACCTCGACAGAAAGCGCAGACGCCAACCCCGAGGAAGATTGGTCCTGCAAGCTTTGTGAACTGGATTTTAAGGCTGATATGCGTCAGTGTGCCATGTGCCTCACCTGGGTTCATGAAAAATGTGTCGGACTGACGCCTGAGGATGAAGATGTGTTTATTTGTCCCAAATGTGCACCCTGAACGGATGGGCTTTATTATCTGTTGAGCATAAAATAAGGCCCATTAACGAGTTTTTTAAAAACCTAAGAATTTTTCTTTTTGTTTATTTCATTTGAGTTTATAAATGTTACAGTATATAGTTTAAAGTTAATATATGTTTATGAAATAAAAAAAATAAAAAAATGTACACGTTTTCTTTGTTTTTTTAATATAATGCGTTAGGTGGGCCTTATTACCCGCACTTACCTTATGTAATATATATTTATATATTATATATTTATTATATGTAATATATATTTATTTAAAAATATTAAATAAACAATTTGACCTCCAAACCATATTGTATGACATTATTTCATAAAAAGTAAAATTGGAAAATTTTGTGGGATAAGTCAGATTAGATTGAAGTTGTTAGGATTATTATACATAAAAATGTTAATTTAGAAATAAAAAATCGGTATAGAAAATTAATAAATATTTATTTTTAACATAAAATAAAATATAAAAAAACAAAATATTTCCTTAAATAAAATAATTCTTCATAAGAGAAAAAACCAAATAGTTCTTCATAAAAAAAAACATTTTTCATTGTATTTAAGTTGGATAGAAGATTTTAGGTAAATGCCTGATAATTTAGATACTATAATAGTAAAAGTATTTTTTCTTACTACCTCGACTCAAAATACGTTGTTTCGTCCCCGATTCCACGGCAGAAAGTTTACGTTTTATACGCGCACACTCTAATAGCGGGAGTAAAAATTTTTTAGTCGTGTGCTTAACATTCAAATTTCGTACTGCCAACATGAGAAACACAAAAATATGACAGTTTTAAACCATAATTTTGCAATTATAACAACAAATAAACAATTTATGTTTTTACTTTTTTACTTTTTATGTTGTTTTAAGTGTTTAATGGTACTTTTATTTGTTATAAAGTAGTAATTTGTTAATTAAAATACAACGTTTTATTTTTACTGTATTGGCACCGCTGAATTCACGGCCTACTGTTATTTATTTATCAAGCTCTTCAAATGGAGATAGGTACATAAATACACATTTAATTTTTTCCCGTATTTTCGGCCGGGTTGTATTTTCGGCCGAGGTAGTAAGAAAATAGTATACACTACACGGGCAGAAAGTGTGAGAGCCCTGAACTGCGCGCAGTGCAGGAATCTCACACTTTCTGCCCTTGTAGTGTAATATTCTATTCTTATCGAATATTGTTTTAATTTGTCAAATAACTATAAAAAAATATTTTGGGTTGGGTTTTTTACTTAGTATTTAATACTAAGTATAGGTGCCTTTATACATAGATTATGGTATATTTTACTATTTTATAGGTATCTAACTGAACTGAATATGCTTAACAGAATGTTCCAGGAATATTCCTAAATGAACTTTCTATAGCAATTACTTTCTCAACATTCTAAGCATATGTTTAGAGTGGATTAATTTTTACAACTAAACTTTGCACCTTCTAAAAACCTGCCTATAGGTCAGTGAGAATATTCTTAGGATTATGCTATATTTCTTTTAAGCATGTACTTTAGAAGAAATATAGCATGATCCTAAGAATATTCCCACTGGAAGGTTTAAAAAACATTCTTAGAATAAACTGTGCTATCAGGGTGGTTTTCCAACGAATTTTAAAATGACAATTTTTGTGTCTAACCCACGTGAATATATCTTATTTTGATTATAATTAAATATATATATATAAATGTGTAATTTTAGGCTTGGGCAAACGTAAACCAAACGACCGTGGTGGCTACCACACCTACGTTTACGAGGATGACTACAAAAAACACGACAAAAAGGACGTCCAAAGTATTTTCCAGATATCCGTCACAACCTTGGCTTTCCTCGCTTTTGGCGGTTACCTGCTTTGCCTACTTTGTCAAGCAATCAGCGCCAAGAATGATTATAACAACAACAACGCCAACACACAGGTGGTTCAGGCCATCATAAAATCTCAAAATATTAGAAGAGGAACTAGAAGGCCCAATGGAGTAAGAAGACCGACTTCGTATAGAAAAAAGTATCCCAACAGGTATGGAAATTTGAGACCCAGGCCGAGGGTTAAAAGAGATGTTTGGGATATGGAAGATACGGACAAAATGTACTGGGCTTTGATACGCTTATCGGAGGGGTATGCTGGGTATCACACCATTCAACGAGGCGGAGAAAATCGAACTTACACGGATTACTTAGATTTTTAACAGTACTTACAAGAGATCGTGAACAAAATAAGTCACAAGGTTTTTGCAAATTGCGGCTCTTATATTGCATAAAAAATAAATAAATGTTAAATTATGTGACGGCTTTGTACCAAAAATGTAACTAGATAATTTATTATTGTGATAAAATTAGTATTTATTATATTTATATTTAATATATTTCATTTTATTTAATCCAGGTCCACATTACTTTATGTTAAGTTTACAGTCAACAAGTGGTTTTTATTTATAACAAACATTTTGTAGATTTAATAACAAAATCCTGTCAATCGCGACATTTTTTTCTTAAGGTACAGTTTCGTTGATGCGACTCGCGGCTGCGACTGAACGCGTCAACCAAAACATATACAAACAAATTGTACTAAGCAGTGGAGCGGCTACGATCGCAGCCGCAGGCCGCAGCCGCGAATCGCATCAACAAAACTGTACCTTTAAGGGTCCCCGTATCTCTTCGCGTTTGGAAGTTACACTCGAAAATCGCGATATTTTTTTCAAAAGGGTCCCCCTTATGACATTTTTTCTGAAAAACATGAAAAAAAAAGTTGCAAAAATAATTTTTCCTTACTAATTCGAGCACGCTGATTCCAAAAAATCAAACCGCACTTTCGTATCTCTTCGCGTTTGGAAGTTACACTCGAAAATCGCGGTATTTTTTTCAAAAGGGTCCCCCCTTATGACATTTTTTCTGAAAAACATGAAAAAAAAGTTGCAAAAATAATTTTTCCTTACTAATTCGAGCACGCTGATTCCAAAAAATCAAACCGCACTTTCGTATCTCTTCGCGTTTGGAAGTTACACTCGAAAATCGCGGTATTTTTTTCAAAAGGGTCCCCCCTTATGACATTTTTTCTGAAAAACATGAAAAAAAAAGTTGCAAAAATAATTTTTCCTTACTAATTCGAGCACGCTGATTCCAAAAAATCAAACCGCACTTTCGTATCTCTTCGCGTTTGGAAGTTACACTCGAAAATCGCGGTATTTTTTTCAAAAGGGTCCCCCCTTATGACATTTTTTCTGAAAAACATAAAAAAAAAAGTTGCAAAAATAATTTTTCCTTACTAATTCGAGCACGCTGATTCCAAAAAATCAAACCGCACTTTCGTATCTCTTCGCGTTTGGAAGTTACACTCGAAAATCGCGATATTTTTTTCAAAAGGGTCCCCCCTTATGACATTTTTTCTGAAAAACATGAAAAAAAAAAGTTGCAAAAATAATTTTTCCTTACTAATTCGAGCACGCTGATTCCAAAAAATCAAACCGCACTTTCGTATCTCTTCGCGTTTGAAAGTTACACTCAAAAGGGTCCCCCCTTATGACATTTTTTCTGAAAAACATGAAAAAAAAAGTTGCAAAAATAATTTTTCCTTACTAATTCGAGCACGCTGATTCCAAAAAATCAAACCGCACTTTCGTATCTCTTCGCGTTTGGAAGTTACACTCGAAAATCGCGGTATTTTTTTCAAAAGGGTCCCCCCTTATGACATTTTTTCTGAAAAACATAAAAAAAAAAGTTGCAAAAATAATTTTTCCTTACTAATTCGAGCACGCTGATTCCAAAAAATCAAACCGCACTTTCGTATCTCTTCGCGTTTGGAAGTTACACTCGAAAATCGCGGTATTTTTTTCAAAAGGGTCCCCCCTTATGACATTTTTTCTGAAAAATATGAAAAAAAAAAGTTGCAAAATTAATTTTCCTTACTAATTCGAGTACGCTGATTCCAAAAAATCAAACCGCACTTTCGTATCTCTTCGCGTTTGAAAGTTACACTCGAAAATCGCGATATTTTTTTCAAAAGGGTCCCCCCTTATGACATTTTTTCTGAAAAACATAAAAAAAAAGTTGCAAAAATAATTTTTCCTTACTAATTCGAGCACGCTGATTCCAAAAAATCAAACCGCACTTTCGTATCTCTTCGCGTTTGGAAGTTACACTCGAAAATCGCGATATTTTTTTCAAAAGGGTCCCCCCTTATGACATTTTTTCTGAAAAACATGAAAAAAAAAGTTGCAAAAATAATTTTTCCTTACTAATTCGAGCACGCTGATTCCAAAAAATCAAACCGCACTTTCGTATCTCTTCGCGTTTGGAAGTTACACTCGAAAATCGCGATATTTTTTTCAAAAGGGTCCCCCTTATGACATTTTTTCTGAAAAACATAAAAAAAAAGTTGCAAAAATAATTTTTCCTTACTAATTCGAGCACGCTGATTCCAAAAAATCAAACCGCACTTTCGTATCTCTTCGCGTTTGGAAGTTACACTCGAAAATCGCGGTATTTTTTTCAAAAGGGTCCCCCCTTATGACATTTTTTTTGAAAAACATAAAAAAAAAAGTTGCAAAAATAATTTTTCCTTACTAATTCGAGCACGCTGATTCCAAAAAATCAAACCGCACTTTCGTATCTCTTCGCGTTTGGAAGTTACACTCGAAAATCGCGGTATTTTTTTCAAAAGGGTCCCCCCTTATGACATTTTTTCTGAAAAACATGAAAAAAAAAGTTGCAAAAATAATTTTTCCTTACTAATTCGAGCACGCTGATTCCAAAAAATCAAACCGCACTTTCGTATCTCTTCGCGTTTGGAAGTTACACTCGAAAATCGCGGTATTTTTTTCAAAAGGGTCCCCCCTTATGACATTTTTTCTGAAAAACATGAAAAAAAAAGTTGCAAAAATAATTTTTCCTTACTAATTCGAGCACGCTGATTCCAAAAAATCAAACCGCACTTTCGTATCTCTTCGCGTTTGGAAGTTACACTCGAAAATCGCGGTATTTTTTTCAAAAGGGTCCCCCCTTATGACATTTTTTCTGAAAAACATGAAAAAAAAAGTTGCAAAAATAATTTTTCCTTACTAATTCGAGCACGCTGATTCCAAAAAATCAAACCGCACTTTCGTATCTCTTCGCGTTTGAAAGTTACACTCGAAAATCGCGGTATTTTTTTCAAAAGGGTCCCCCCTTATGACATTTTTTTTGAAAAACATAAAAAAAAAAGTTGCAAAAATAATTTTTCCTTACTAATTCGAGCACGCTGATTCCAAAAAATCAAACCGCACTTTCGTATCTCTTCGCGTTTGGAAGTTACACTCGAAAATCGCGGTATTTTTTTCAAAAGGGTCCCCCTTATGACATTTTTTCTGAAAAACATGAAAAAAAAAGTTGCAAAAATAATTTTTCCTTACTAATTCGAGCACGCTGATTCCAAAAAATCAAACCGCACTTTCGTATCTCTTCGCGTTTGGAAGTTACACTCGAAAATCGCGGTATTTTTTTCAAAAGGGTCCCCCCTTATGACATTTTTTCTGAAAAACATAAAAAAAAAAGTTGCAAAAATAATTTTTCCTTACTAATTCGAGCACGCTGATTCCAAAAAATCAAACCGCACTTTCGTATCTCTTCGCGTTTGGAAGTTACACTCGAAAATCGCGATATTTTTTTCAAAAGGGTCCCCCCTTATGACATTTTTTCTGAAAAACATGAAAAAAAAAAGTTGCAAAAATAATTTTTCCTTACTAATTCGAGCACGCTGATTCCAAAAAATCAAACCGCACTTTCGTATCTCTTCGCGTTTGAAAGTTACACTCAAAAGGGTCCCCCCTTATGACATTTTTTCTGAAAAACATGAAAAAAAAAGTTGCAAAAATAATTTTTCCTTACTAATTCGAGCACGCTGATTCCAAAAAATCAAACCGCACTTTCGTATCTCTTCGCGTTTGGAAGTTACACTCGAAAATCGCGGTATTTTTTTCAAAAGGGTCCCCCCTTATGACATTTTTTCTGAAAAACATAAAAAAAAAAGTTGCAAAAATAATTTTTCCTTACTAATTCGAGCACGCTGATTCCAAAAAATCAAACCGCACTTTCGTATCTCTTCGCGTTTGGAAGTTACACTCGAAAATCGCGGTATTTTTTTCAAAAGGGTCCCCCCTTATGACATTTTTTCTGAAAAATATGAAAAAAAAAAGTTGCAAAATTAATTTTCCTTACTAATTCGAGTACGCTGATTCCAAAAAATCAAACCGCACTTTCGTATCTCTTCGCGTTTGAAAGTTACACTCGAAAATCGCGATATTTTTTTCAAAAGGGTCCCCCCTTATGACATTTTTTCTGAAAAACATAAAAAAAAAGTTGCAAAAATAATTTTTCCTTACTAATTCGAGCACGCTGATTCCAAAAAATCAAACCGCACTTTCGTATCTCTTCGCGTTTGGAAGTTACACTCGAAAATCGCGATATTTTTTTCAAAAGGGTCCCCCCTTATGACATTTTTTCTGAAAAACATGAAAAAAAAAAGTTGCAAAAATAATTTTTCCTTACTAATTCGAGCACGCTGATTCCAAAAAATCAAACCGCACTTTCGTATCTCTTCGCGTTTGGAAGTTACACTCGAAAATCGCGACATTTTTTCTGAAAAACATGAAAAAAAAAAGTTGCAAAAATAATTTTTCCTTACTAATTCGAGCACGCTGATTCCAAAAAATCAAACCGCACTTTCGTATCTCTTCGCGTTTGAAAGTTACACTCGAAAATCGCGGTATTTTTTTCAAAAGGGTCCCCCCTTATGACATTTTTTTTGAAAAACATAAAAAAAAAAGTTGCAAAAATAATTTTTCCTTACTAATTCGAGCACGCTGATTCCAAAAAATCAAACCGCACTTTCGTATCTCTTCGCGTTTGGAAGTTACACTCGAAAATCGCGGTATTTTTTTCAAAAGGGTCCCCCCTTATGACATTTTTTCTGAAAAACATGAAAAAAAAAGTTGCAAAAATAATTTTTCCTTACTAATTCGAGCACGCTGATTCCAAAAAATCAAACCGCACTTTCGTATCTCTTCGCGTTTGGAAGTTACACTCGAAAATCGCGGTATTTTTTTCAAAAGGGTCCCCCCTTATGACATTTTTTCTGAAAAACATAAAAAAAAAAGTTGCAAAAATAATTTTTCCTTACTAATTCGAGCACGCTGATTCCAAAAAATCAAACCGC